GGGGGGGGGGGGGGGGGGGGGGTTGGTTTTATAATTTTTGACACTTGCCCACTAGAAACTAACCATGGACAAGCAACTTATTCACTTATGTCACCAAGCACCTGTTGGAGGATAAAGATTTCCAATCACTGTGAAATTCTTCCATATTCAGATCGGTAATCAGAAGAAAGACTGGTATCCTATTCTCAGACTTGTGAGTCATTCTTTCCCCTAGTATCTCAAGATAATTTTGTGTGGCCGGGTTTGCACATAAGAGAATTTTATAGAAGCAGTACATTATTTAGCCTTTTCTATATGCACACTGCTTGCTTGACACTCAGATAAATATAAACTATAACAGAGATGTAGAAATATTCTGCCAATTGTTAGTATGGCTTTATTTTGGACTGACTAGCATTTGTGAACATGAGGACCTGGCCAGACTCTAACACTGCCTACAGTTAAGTGGCCAAGTTCTGGAAACAAGGTTAACTTATCTAGGGCTATATTTACACTGCAGTAGGAAGTGCAATTTCAGGATGTGTAGATGTGCCTGAGTTAGCATTAATCCGGTGAGCTCATGTGATAAAGTAGAGGTGAAAGGGGTGGCAAGGGCAGGCTGAACAAGTCCACCCGGGACCCTGGGTGCTTTCTTGGATGGTTATCCATGTTGATATCCTGACTGCTGCTGTTCCTTGTGCTAGCTAAACTGAAGCTAGTTCAGGTATGCCTGCACATGTTGCAGTCACTTCTGATTCCCGTGTTGATACGTGCTGATAAATGCATGTTAAAGACATCTTTAATATGTGACTATATCCTGAGTGAGACCAGTCAAATGTGCAAACCTTTTGCACCGTCTGTTTCCTAAGGAGAAAGAATAATCTCAAGTGTTTATGTGAGTACATGTGTGGAGGGGAGCTTTGTATGAATGCTATCCCCGATCAAGGAGTTTATATGGAACATAATATGCGTCTCCTAGATTCCCCCAGAATATCTCTCTGGAGCCCCTGGTTATTGGGGACTGTAAAATCTTTTCTGCCATATTCTGCAAGATACTTGAGAAACTTCTAGCCCGTGCTTCTGGTACCGGCAAGTAGTTTAAAATATGTGCTTTGATTCAAGGGTCAAGGAGGCAATTGTATCACTCAAGGGTATTCAACCCCACTGTTCTCCCACCACCAAATTCCCAGGCTCTTTGGGCCAGATGATATAACCCCCTGTGCTGGATCTGGCTGGCACTTGCAGGGCTGGGGCCAAGGCAGTCAGCTGAATTCGGTGCATGGGGACCGGCAGCCAATCCGGTGTGTACCAGATAGGGCCCTGAGACTGGATCTGGTCCACAGACCAACCCAGTACCACTCACTCATCCAGCCTCCAAAGGCTGGAGATTGGGCACCACTGGTATAACCTGTGGCTTAGACTCTAATAAGTAGAGATTGCGACAGAGTATGTTCCTGGTATGAGACATGTTTCTCATAAATCACCACAGGGTAGCTGCCCATAATTTATTACCAAGTGCTTTTAAGCCCCTTTCTTTCTCCTCTCCACAGTTCATGTGGTGTCCTTATATAATAGGTCTTTATAGGGAGGCCCAAATGGCACTGTTATTAAAACAGATGGGAAACCTCCCAAGTGCATTACTATGCGGAGTGAGTCTTCCCAGCTGCACTGATACCATTGTTTTCTGATTGACGACATCTCAGTAGTTGCCCTGTATGTCTCAAAGTTAGACTTGAAATAAGATCTGCTGTGCAGGGAACTCATCTCTTCTGGTACATGTATCCATTTATAGTAGCATACAGTCCTAGAACCTTAAAAATATAATGGTCCCACAGGAAATTCAGTGCTCTTCAAAGGTGAAATTCACTGGTTTCTTATGAGAAAAAACACTGGTAAAAAGACATTTTATGGGACAGAGGGACACAGTGGGAAAGTGGGTTGTAGTGTTTTGCTGCTGATTCAGAGGTGTGTGTGAACCTCACTTCGGACTCTTACAAAAGGCTGTCTCTGCTTGACCCAGCTTTGAATGTGTATCTGTTCTTTTGGGCTGGGGAATCAAAGGCAACTGGGTAGTGATCACTCTCATGTGCTGTTGGCCATACTTCGTTTCTTAATTTCTTAGTTGGTCTAATAAAAGGTATCATCTCCAAACCAAGAGTTCTAGAGCTTGGCAGGCAAGGGTCTTTGAGTAGATGTGATACCTTTTATCAGACCAGTTGAGTAGCTGGAAAAAAGTCCTTAGCAAGATTTCAGGTGCAGTCACCCTTCTTCAGGCATAGGGTGTTTCTGCTCTTCTGAGACTCCAAGGAATGGGGAAAGCTAAAAGTGTAGCAGGATGTCAGTGAGAATGTAAATAGATAGAAATTAGGAAAACGTATAGCAGGGAAGGGAGGGGGGAAAAAAACGGGAGTGGGGGAACCAAAGGTAAATCAGGGAGACTCTATAGTCCTAGTAATTCAAGGTAGGAAAGAGGCTGTCTGTGAAAAAGGAAATAGCTGGAAATTAGGAAGGCAAAGGGCAGAAAAGTAGGGGAAGGGAAGGAAAAAAGGTGGGGGTAGGGAAGGAAAGTGTAAGAGGTCAGGTATGGCAGGTACCTGGTGAACCAGATGTCAGGGAGGTTGTAATGTGTCATAAATCCAATGCCTATATTGAGTCCATGATTTTTTGTATCCAGTAGTTTGATGAAGTGAAGTTTGTAGGCTTGCCTATGAAAGGTGTTTTGTAAAGTCTAGAGTTTTGCATTCCTGTTGGCCATGGACATATGTGCCTTATACATGCTAGCCTGATGAGCCACCTAGGTGTGGGCAGACCTTTGATTTTTAGAGGCTCAGAACTGAAGCTGTCCGAGTGGTCCTGAGAGATCTATTTCACAAATGGCTTAGCATTGAAGGCCCCATCTCTGTGGAAATACTTGAAAGTAGGAAATGCCTGAATTCAAAACCCTTTTTCTGAGCACCCCGAACTTTGAGGAAGTTCAGGTCTGGCCTTTCCCATTTGTGCTGGTCTCTGGTTAGATGGGTTGTTTTTAGCATGTGGATAGGATGTGGAACATTTTCCTCAGCAGTGCCCTTAAATGATTAAACCAGTGTCAATGAAACTGGTATGTTTTGGCATCGACACTCTTGTAAATTTTTTTGGTGTTTTCTCTTGTAGGGAAAGTGGAGGTGCTTATAAAACACAGGCTATGTTGTAATGGAGACTTCAGTCTAGCTCTAGTTTGCTCCCTTTTCATACAATGTGAACAAACTTGCTACAAACTTGTCTGTGTGACGTGAATTAAAATTGTGACTGTTCAGCGTTATATCATCTTTTAGAATGATGGCAGATGCTGATCTCCGTAGTGCCAGTGAAAAACAAGAATAACTTTGCTGATGTCACCGCACTGCACTGAAGTTACTAGGATCATAACAGGGCAATGAGTGGCCTGCACTATCCTGTTGTGATCGTATTGCAGCAGGCTAGCACACAACAGAACTGTATCGGTGCTTTTGGGCTGGTAACTGCATGGAAAGGGAGTGAGTATCACATAAGAATCTCCTGATGGGTAACACTATTAGTATAAAGGTACCAATACGCTATGAATTAACTCACAACAGGGCTCAAGCGGCAGACACATACCATGACATGGCGATAATCTGGTGTACTTGGTAGTGAATGCAGACACACTGAAAACTCTGTTCCAAAAGAGAATGAAAGTTCCTAGTGTTTCAACACACTGAGATGGGCAGGGGGCATCTCTTTTTAATGATTCACTTGGAAAAACTGTGTGTGTGGAAATACATGAAAGCATTTAATTTATTTAAAAGAGAAGTCTTGAGAGCTGTCATAATAGGTCAGGCTAGATAAATTCTACCCCGTGACTCTCAGCCTTAGCATCTGAATACTGTACCCGTGACTGCAGACTATAAAGACTAGCATGTTCTGCAGAGGCAATGGGTCACTTTTCTCATGTTCTTAATGAGGACGGAATAGGGATTTGATGGAATTCAACCCTTGATCTTCAGATAGGATTGGAAAAAAGATTGGAGAAATCTCTTGAGTCTAGAAAGGACAGAAAGTTCTTCCACTCTATGCCATGTTGATTTGAGAGAGGATCTAAGAAGTTCAGGCATCCATCATACACAGAGAACACTGGTGTTTGAATAATGGGCATATCATAATGTGATATTTATATCACAGTACCTCCTATTGCTTCCATAAGAACTGGGCCCTGAGTATTGATGCAGGCAACTCAAAGGAGGGTTTGAACTATTAGGTGGTAAAATCTGTGTTGGAGATGAGTGTGAAGGGACCTGCTGTAGAGGTGAGATAGAGAGATCAGCATTTGAATTAGGAACAGAGGCAGCAAGAGACTGTGAAGAGGGAATAGTCATTCTCCACGTGTTTGTCCAAAATGTACTTGATACATATTGGGTTCCCATGCCCTTAAAATTGGAGTCTTCACCCCAGCAAGATTCACCTGGGGCTCTACAGACCCCCTACATGTCCTTGTGCTCCCGTATCAAGCCTGCCATTCAGTCTTCCCATAGCAGTAAGGATGTTTCCCAAGTCCTTACACGTGTTGCTGTCCACCTGAGAAGACAAATTATAGCAGTTTCCCTTTAACTGCATGAATGGGTCACCTGAACAAAACTGCCCGAGCGGTTGGCAAGAGCCGCTTATTACATTCAACAGCTTTTTATTGCTCCTGGTCTGAAAACCAACAAGGATAAATCCCTGATGCCCCCAGCACAGAGAAATCACCGGGGCAGTACTGGACTCCATGGGCACGTCTATGCGGCCTCGCCCTTTACGTGGATCACCGCCGACAAAAAATAAATCCTGGCCACCTGCTCCCACTCCAGACACCAACGATCAGGTACAGGGGATAGATGGCTATGGAGTAGCTCCAAGGCGCGTGGGGTGGACTAAGTGCCTGTCCCAGACTAACACTCAGACTCTCTGTGCCCACCTGAGCCCTGTGTTTTAGGGAGAAGGAGACAGCAAAGGTCTGAGCTGTATTTCTGCTATAGATTAATTTCCCAACTATCAACAGCGCGGCCAGATTTTACAAAAATAAGTTGGGAGAGGCCTGCTCATATTTGCTGGGCTGCCAGAAAGCAGTGTTCAGCACAAGGTAGCTGTTGTGGCAGTGGATCTCTTGCGTCTGCAGCAGGTTCTGGGAGCTAGTTTTCTGTCAGATACAAGCAGATATGTTCAGATTATGGAACGGGGTCAGCCGGCGTTAGACCTGTGTGCCACGGACAAGAGCAGCCAACGTCTCAACTTCTGCTCCAGACGGGTTTGAAGCTCAGTCTCTGTCTTGGATGTTTTCCCTCCTTTTGCAGTCCTTAGGACTGATGCCTTTCTAACTCTCAATAGTTCTGATTCCCAGGGTCTACAGAAAGATTAACTAAGATGCTGCCAGGATCGTTGTGATCCTCAAGGGAGTTGCAACACTAGGAGTTGATGCTCATACGCCTTTCTCTGCTGAAACCCTTATCTTCTCTACCTCATATCCCCGGACAGTGGGCACATCTCACCTTGAGTCCAGCTGCCTTCCCTCTTGCAGTCTGGTTATGGGATGGACGTCAGGCACGGGTGGATCATATTCCCCCGGTGTCCAAACCATTCTGGTGCAGAATAAGAAAGATCCTATCAGACAAACCGATGCTGCCGAAGAGAAGAGATTCAGGATGTGCTGTGCATGGAGTCAGCTACACCTAGTTGAGTCTCAGATTTGTGCAATTTTGGACCATTTGCTCTCTCTGGAAACCTCCAGATTGTTGATTAGCTCCAGTGGAGTGCACCTGGAAGCCATTTCTGCAAATCACCTTCCTTTTGAGAGCTACAGAGTTGGGGGTTTTTTTCTTTCTCACAACGGCTGCATTTCATCAGGATCTGGCTTATGTTTTTCTACTGATAAGGAAACCCATATACATAGGATCTCACTGGGGTTTTGTTGAGCTTTCTGGGCATCGATTTGACATGCAACCCCAGCAGCCCGTTCTTTATTGCACTTGTCTGTGAACACTTCCTTTTTTGATCTCAAACACTGAGAAGATTGTGGAAATACAGCATCGCCAGTAGGACCTCCTTGTCTTCTTTCCTGTAATGATAAAGCGTCACTCAGGTGGCATCCCAAATTCTTACAAGAGTAACTATAAATTTCCATTTAAATGGAAAGAGCACACTGCCAATCTGCTTCCCCCGAACATATGCTAGTGGTGAAGGGAAGCTGGGGGGAAGGGAGCCAGGTGGCACATGTGTCCTTTAGTTCCCAGAGGACTATGTGCTTTAGCTCTTTCCACCTAAAGTACTGGTAGTATTTGCTGACAGGCCACATCAGTCTAGAGACCCTCCCTGTGTGCTCACACCTCTCCCGATGTCGCTAGTTTAGAGCCCCATTACAGGCCTCCTCCAATCTCAGTTACCTGCAAAGCAGGCGCCTGGGGTGCAATCAGTACTTTCCCCAAACGCTGCTCTGTGGTGGAAGCGCCGAGGTCTGCCGCTCCATTTGGCAGAGCTGCACCGCAGTCTTTATTTAAACAGACTTCGAGCGCTGGCCGTCTTCACGGCAGGCTGCTGCTTGTGACTCATCAACAGCAGAGCATCAGCACTCAGAGAAAGAAAGGTTGCTACTTACCTGACCGTGACTGGAGCGCCCTTAGATGTGTGGTCCGGATGGATTGCACCACCTCGCTCCCTGCGCCTGCACTCTCCTTTGTCATCGTCAGCTTCCTGCAGTGGCAAAGGAGCTGAATGGAGGTTGAGCCTGCTCCAAGGTCAGTGCCCTCCGGGGGGAACAGAAGGGCATTTACAGCCCAGGTGCAGCCCCGAGGGACATCGCTGGCTACAAGTGCATGGGGGGGCCAAGCAGACCAGGAAGGGAACAGATGTGGATGATGCATCTTGAGGACCTCCCGTTACTGTAAAACAAATAACTTTCTTATCACGACACTGGATTCAGAATACCAGCAGACGGGCGAGGGTCTTATGGACAGTGTCTTGGGGAGAAGGGAGGACAAAAGCTGGCCTTCAGTTGGTAGATCGGTTTGGGGTATTTTGTGTGGTCATAGCGGGATCAGGAGCTTGTGAGGTTGCGTGTGGCAGACGGTGAGGAAAGGACCAAAACGGTCTCCCGCCTGCCCGGCCTTTGGCTGGTTCCTGTCACCTTCGTATCGGTGTCGTGGAGTAACACTGAGCACACAAGCCTGCCAAGCGCTGATAAATGCTGCCCGATTGCTCCTCGCTGTACGTACCCCTTTGCCAGGGGCGCATCGTTTGTATTCCCCCACATACCGGGTATCGAAACAAAGACAGACAAAATGAAGTGATTGGGAAGGCCGTCACGCCAACCTCTGGGAAACGGGTGGCAGCGCCAGCCCCTCGCTTGGCGGAGGCCCCCAGCCCCGGCTCACGGGTAGGGCCGGAGGTGACACAAGCGCACCAAGATCCAGCGCCCCAAGCTGCAGGTCTCTGCGGGTCCGTTCCCTTCCTCCCAGAATCGGGGTGCTGGTTTCGAGGGATGACTCTGTTTCCGGAGCCACCTGCAAACCTGCAGCTTCCCAGTCCCGGCTTTGCCGGGAACAAAAGGGGAAGAAGACCCCTGCCCTGCCGGAGACAACGCTCTGCTTTCTCCCAGGAAGTATTTCTTCCAGGAGATTTTTGCGGCGCACCTGGGCACTGGGTGCTGTTTTGGGGGGGTTCGGGG